TTTTCTCTAGTCTTGTTCTGTCTTTCAGTGTTAGGGTTTGAACAGGTAATGGGTGCGGGCCCTGGTGTGTGCTACCTAAATACTGGTATTTACGGCTTCCGATATTCGATCTAACCATTTCATGCGGGGTCGACCTCAGGGTCTGCTTCCGTTGTGACTAAATGGCAGGGTTCTCTACGATGCACTGTCTGGTGGTTGTCTTGACATATTTGCGAATGCCCGGCTCTCTAGCGTAGTTGGCTAAACCGGATTGCGCGGAGACCAGGTGACGAACTCCTTGTGGTCCGGGTTCAATCCCGGGGGTAGGCAGGAAAGCCACATTTTCTCCCAGATTTACGGTATTTACAGTGGAATGAAGGCCGAAAGGTTGCGATATCCATAATACCGAGCCTAAGGGTTAACAACTCATGGCTTCTGGATACTAACAAACATATTTGCGAAACATTTGATCTGTTGTCTCGTGATGTAGTTTAATACAGGTCCCGTCCCAACTTCTTTCCTGATATCGTCATTTCTGATCCCGTCTGTTCTAGCTACATTTAGAATTCCCCGCAGACATTTCATTTCTTTTATTTCTCTCATTATTTTTCTATCATGATCGCTTTCAAAAATAGAATACAAATGGAACAGTTCTGGTTTGTTTGCTCTTGTTCTCACAGGCCAGTGGAAACAATGTCACTGAAAGTCGTCTACCTGACTCTATGTGCCGTCTGTCTGATGGGAATAGGCATCGTTTATTTTGTAGACATCAACATCGTCACATCAAAGTTTGTTACCTTCACAAACTCACGACTGACATATTTTAAATCAATCTGGTTAACCAGAAACATCACCACTGGATCATCTTCCGAAGTAACGTCAATGAGCTTTAACTCCTCGCTGGTTGTACATTGTAAGGAGTCGCCATACATACAATGCACTCCGTCAAACATCACACAGCCCTCGACCAACAAGCAGTTTAAGATCGTTTATTTAAGACGCCCGAATTGGACGTCTCTAAATATGACATCGTGTATGATCAGCCCATGCGTGGTATCAGATGGACCTGTTACAAATGACACTGACCTAGTCGTAGTTAATGCAGTCGGTTTAAAAGATAGCTTCCAGCCGCCACAGAGATGGACAAACCAGACCTATATCATTGCAGTTTGGGAATCACCGGCATACAGAGACGTGTATGTTTTAAATAGTAAGTTGCGTAGTTGTAGATTTGAATTTGTTGCCATGTATTTTTTTATATATTTTTTAATCTATTATTTATCCCTAGAAGGGACACACAGTCTTTAACAATATATTAATGTTATTATGAAACAGTATTTATCATATTTCCCCAGCCCCTGTGTGGGTTCCGGGGCCCCATTGTGGGGAAAACATGAATAGACCCACTGCCTTCCCAAAAGCATGTTGTAAGAGTCGACTAATTGGGGAGCTTCCTTTGAAGTAGGAGTGCATCTGCCAGAGAGGCAAGGAAGCAACAGTCTGTATTCAAGAGAATGAGATCTGTCAAACTGATGCACACGTAACACTCAAGTTCTGGAGCAGGACTGCAGTTCAGTAGTGGACGAGCAACCAGAACTTTCCGCCAGAGTCTACAGCTGGTGAACGCGAAGAAGAAGAAGAAGATATTTCCCCAGGTATAAGACGATTCACGAATAAGACGTACTTGGATTTAGGGGCCGGAAATTTCGGAATAAAACATATGTGTATATAAAGTTAATGAACTCACGTTTTATTCAATTTAGAATCCATAAAACTCATCACCGTTAAAACCCTTATCCGAATGATAGTTCTTGAGCTTATCCTCGCATATGTCCGATGAATGAATCAGTCTTCATAAATGTCTCATCTTCACTTCCATCTGTAGTATTTGAAGTGGCCGCACTTGTTGAATCACTTGACAATGATCTCTGTCTCGACATTAATCCATGATCTTTTCACCGAGGCACACATTTCTCCTACCGTTGGTTTCTTCATGCTACCTGCTGGCGTCACATTGTCCCCAGAAGATTTCAACCAGTGGATCACTTTTCACTTGAATTCAGCACTTTACGAAAATATTGTCTAAGACATTTATGGCCAAAACATAACCTAATGATAACATTTTCAAAACCACGAGCACGAGGACAAACGCCACAACTATGACACTGGGAAAAACTTTCATAATTTTCATTTTGTTAGGGGTGGGGGATAGGGGCATTTTTTTTTTTTTAAATTTCGCACATGAAACGACGGCATTTCTAAATGAGGCTCTGTTGGGGATAATTTCTAATAAATTATTTGGTAAACATTTATTACAACTATTTGAGACTCGCACAGTGTTAAGAATATATTTTTGAAAAAAAGTTCGTTTTAAACGTGGGGCAATACAGTAATTTGATTTAATAATATTTATTATGTAACTGTGGATGGGATAAAAATTTTAAAGTCACGAAAATGTTTGTTTTCTTTGTATTTCTGCTAAGATGCGAGGTCTCCCTGGATTTCGAGCATAAATCTTATCATGTCGTATCGTGTCGACGCAGACGTTTTTGCCCCGTACAGTCACCTAATGTTTAGTCCAAAACCATTATCAGAGAGGCCAAACTACTGTAAGTACTCGTTGTGTCCTTGTCTATTTAGTGTTATTCAAACACTTTTACACTTTACACATACTCGAAAGTGATCACCATGTATTATCTGGCTTTTGCTGCTACTGCTGATGTTTTTTTTTTTTTTTTTTGTTTTGTTAGTGTTATTCTTCTTCTACTTCTACTTTTTTCCTCCTTTTCCTCCTTATCCTCGTTCTTCTTCCTTTTCTCATTCGCGCTCACCTGTTGACAATCCGGAAGGAATGGGGTGGGGGGGGGGGGGGGGGGGGGTGAAGGATGTGAAACTCTACAAGTTTGGTGTTAGGGCAGTCTCTACAAGTGTGGTGTTATGGCAGTCTCTACAAGTGTGGTGTTATGGCAGTCTCTACAAGTGTGGTGTTATGGCAGTCTCTGCAAGTGTAGTGTTATGGCAGTCTCTACAAGTGTGGTGTTATGGCAGTCTCTACAAGTGTGGTGTTATGGCAGTCTCTACAAGTGTGGTGTTATGTCAGTTTCTACAAGTGTGGTGTTATGGCAGTCTCTACAAGTGTGGTGTTATGGCAATCTCTACAAGTGTGGTGTTATGGAGTTTCTACAAGTGTGGTGTTATGGCAGTTTCTACAAGTGTGGTGTTATGGCAGTCTCTACAAGTGTGGTGTTATGGCAGTTTCTTCAAGTGTGGTGTTATGGCAGTCTCTACAAGTGTGGTGTTATGTCAGTCTCTATAAGTGTGGTGTTATGGCAGTTTCTACAAGTGTGGTGTTATGGCAGTCTCTACAAGTGTGGTGTTATGGCAGTTTCTACAAGTGTGGTGTTATGGCAGTTTCTACAAGTGTGGTGTTATGGCAGTCTCTACAAGTGTGGTGTTATGTCAGTCTCTATAAGTGTGGTGTTATCGCAGTCTCTACAAGTGTGGTGTTATGGCAGTCTCTACAAGTGTGGTGTTATGGCAGTCGCTACAAATGTGGTGTCATGGCAGTCTCTATAAGCGTGGTGTTATGGCAGTCTCTGTATGTGTTGAGTTATATCAATTTCAGTATATTTGATGTTATAGCGGTCTCTGTAGGTATGGTGTTATAATAGTTTCTGTATGTGTGGTGTTACATCAGTTTTTGTATGTGTGATGTTACATTAGTTTATGTGTGTGTGGTGTTACATCAGTTTATGTGTGTGTGTGTGGTGTTGTAGCGTGTTTTTTGTGTGTATGTATGTGTGTGTATGTATGTGTGTGTGTGTGTTTGTAGTGTTATGGCAGTTTCTATATGTTATAGAAGTCTTTGTATGTTTGATTGTATGTATAGTGTTATAGCAGCTTTTGTATGTTTGATATTGTGGCAGTCACCGTATGCGTGGTGTTATTGCAGTCTCATTATGTGTGGTATTATAGCAATTGTTTATGTTTTGTTTTGGCAGTCTCTGTATGTGTGATGTTCTAGCAGTTTATGTATGTGTGATGTTCTAGCAGTTTATGTATGTGTGGTGTTCTAGCAGTTTATGTATGTGTGATGTTCTAGCAGTTTATGTATGTGTGGTGTTCTAGCAGTTTATGTATGTGTGATGTTCTAGCAGTTTATGTATGTGTGATGTTCTAGCAGTTTGTGTATGTGTGGTGTTCTAGCAGTTTATGTATGTGTGATGTTCTAGCAGTGTATGCATGTGTGATGTTCTAGCAGTTTATATATGTGTGATGTTCTAGCAGTTTATGTATGTGTGATGTTCTAGCAGTTTATGTATGTGTGATGTTCTAGCAGTTTGTGTATGTGTGATGTTCTAGCAGTTTATGTATGTGTGGTGATCTAGCAGTTTATGTATGTGTGGTGTTCTAGCAGTTTATGTATGTGTGGTGTTCTAGCAGTTTATGTATGTGTGGTGTTCTAGCAGTTTATGTATGTGTGGTGATCTAGCAGTTTATGTATGTGTGGTGTTCTAGCAGTTTATGTATGTGTGGTGTTCTAGCAGTTTATGTATGTGTGATGTTCTAGCAGTTTATGTATGTGTGATGTTCTAGCAGTTTATGTATGTGTGGTGTTCTAGCAGTTTATGTATGTGTGATGTTCTAGCAGTTTATGTATGTGTGGTGTTCTAGCAGTTTATATATGTGTGATGTTCTAGCAGTTTATGTATGTGTGATGTTCTATCAGTTTATATGTGTGTGATGTTCTAGCAGTTTATGTATGTGTGATGTTCTAGCAGTTTATGTATGTGTGATGTTCTAGCAGTTTATGTATGTGTGATGTTCTAGCAGTTTATGTATGTGTGGTGATCTAGCAGTTTATGTATGTGTGGTGTTCTAGCAGTTTATGTATGTGTGGTGTTCTAGCAGTTTATGTATGTGTGGTGTTCTAGCAGTTTATGTATGTGTGATGTTCTAGCAGTTTATGTATGTGTGGTGATCTAGCAGTTTATGTATGTGTGGTGTTCTAGCAGTTTATGTATGTGTGGTGTTCTAGCAGTTTATGTATGTGTGGTGTTCTAGCAGTTTATGTATGTGTGATGTTCTAGCAGTTTATGTATGTGTGGTGATCTAGCTGTTTATGTATGTGTGGTGTTCTAGCAGTTTATGTATGTGTGATGTTCTAGCAGTTTATGTATGTGTGGTGTTCTAGCAGTTTATGTATGTGTGATGTTCTAGCAGTTTATGTATGTGTGGTGTTCTAGCAGTTTATGTATGTGTGGTGTTCTACCAGTTTTTGAGAGCTGATGACGTTTTTAATCGTTGCGTTAACGATCAAATTGGTGTTTACAATTTTGGTGATCATGTTAACGCTGCAGATCATGACTGTGACATTAAAAATGGTGGTAGTAATTGCAGTTGTAGTAGTGGTGGCCGTCGTTGTGGCGACAATAACAGTAGTTGTGGTGGTGGTGAAGATGATACCAGTGTTGTGACAGTTCTGACATTTGTCATCAGATGAGATCGCCAAGAACAAGACAAGAAGCGCCGTGTGGATCGTCAGTCATTGTAGCACACAGTCCAAGAGAGAGCAGTACGTCAAGCAGATGCAGGTGACACTGATTGCCTTTCACTTAACGTCTTTCTTGTTAACCTCGCTGTTCTGTTTGTATTATTTTTACGTAATGTTTTATTTGAGCTGAGTTGAGGCGAGACGAGAAGTGACATCACAGCACTCGGGGCATTTCCATGCATGCTCCGTCCTCTTCTTCAGCAGCCAGCTCAGAGTTCCATTACTTTTGGTACAGGTCACAATCTTGTTATATGTCCGTCTTGCCTTTCCTCTGAGTGTAGTGAGTCGGCCAGACCCGCTGGTTACGCCCAGGTGCCTCATTCTCTCCAGACCATAATAATCTTCTTTCTCTACTGATTCCGTCGGCTCTGTGGCTAAGTCAATGCGAAAGCTTCGTAATGCCAGGATGCCGGGTTCGATCCCAGCTGCGGACCATGCACCTTGCGTTGGTTTCGACAGTGGTATCAAGCCGACCGTCCAGAGAGCAATGACAAACTACTGGACGTAAATTTTCCTAGAAAAACCACACAACAGCCAGGGGCTGTTGGGGTTGGTTTTGCAACGTTCTGTAAAGGATACGCAACTAACCTACTGATTCCGTTTTATGTATACTTGTGTCAATGTACAGTTCTATGTTGTGACTACCGCAAACAGTTGCAGTGTGTCCATATCGTTGTCAACACATTCGACGTCTGTAAACTCCGGTAGAATGTTCTGCGTGCTCATCTTCTTTAGGACTTTGTCTTTTCCAAAGCTTGAGTTTTGCCTACACATTCGTTATACGGAACTGGCTTACTTACATGCGGACTGATGGTTTACTGCTTTTCAGGCAGATACACTGCGATTTCGAAGAAATACTCTTAGTCGCATCCTAGGACATACTTGTTAAGAGGCAGTGGGTCTATTAATGTTTCTCCCAAAATAGTGTTTGAAACCCACAAGGGACAATTTCTCCATATAAATATTTCAATTATTAAACCAAAAAAACTAGGCTGTCCGAAAGTGAACCTACGTCATTCAGAGCTCGTCGAATACTTTGCCTCGGTTTTTTGGCTGGTTAGTTGATTGAGAGGTTGACTGGTTGGTTGGTTAACTGGTTGACTTGTTTGGTTGATCGGTCAACCCTCTGGAAGACCCAGATGACATTCTTAAATCCGACCCGCATGCGATTGGTTAGATCATCTAAGAAAGTTTCTGCCATAAAAGTTTTTTTTCTTTTAGGTTTAAATTCACTCATTGAAACTATAGAATTCACACACACACACACAAAGACACACACACACACACACACACACACACACACACACACACATTTTTTTTAAAGGAACATACTTTTGTGATAATTTTGACATCAAAAATCTGTGTAATCTGATAGGCGACATTTTTTTTTTCAAATCGCATGCAAGGTTCGACATGCGAAAAGTACCAGTTGCATCCTGAAGAATAAAGGTCTACTTGTTTTCCTCTCAGCGTTCATTATCTTCCAGAACCTCTGCTCCTCCCCCCCCCCCCTCCCCCCATCCAATGAATTATTCCTTTTGAATTGTTAATTTTGTTTTCTTTAATTTAAAGACCAGCTTTTGATTTTCCAAGTGTTTTACGGATTTATATACTATTCAAAAGAAGCACATAGTTATCCGGTTGCGCATTTTTATTAGGCGACAGGAAAGCCCGTACATCTAAACACTATACTAGACCCAGATGGAAAAGCACTGTCAATTGACCGTCCGAACCCTGAAGTGAATACTGATAGATTGGCTGCTCTGTATGACAAAGCCGACATTGTGAAGAGTCTATGGAATTAGATGAACAGTGTAGAAGACCGGGTATAACATGCACACACCTGGGAAGTATTTCATTTGGGGAAAGGATTAGTAGAGGCTTTGGAAGATGATGCACACTGAGGAGGAAACATAAGCGGGCTTTTAATGAAGCTGCATCTGGTACTATTAGCATGTCGTCTTTGGCGACGAGGAAGGGGACGAAGCGAGTGTGAGAATGTCCCTAGTGCAGTGATGTCAATTCTTGATTCATTCATTTAGTCTGAGTCTTGCCATGTTGTGTAAGTCATTGTTCGAGTAGGACATCAGATGAAGTAGGTTCTATGCGTCGGTTAAAATTACACACAACGGGTAAGTTTGCAATATCCTACAGCCATCACAAAGCTGTCGTTACTGCCTCAATCTCTATTCTCACGCTGAATGGTGTGACGCTGTGCGCAAAGAATGTTTTTAAGCAATGTCTATTCACCTGAGCAATGAAAACCCATTTTTGTTACTTTGAACCGGTGATACGCCTGCCTATGAAACATCTCATGAGTGTGAATTTTTAAAATTGAAAAGGGAGATGGGCTTGTGGCAAAAAATTTACAACCAGACAAGTCAAGTGTGACTACATAAACAAATAAAATTGTGTGTCGTCTGGATATTTAATGTTGGGTGTAGCGTATCACTGATGTTAAGGAGGGACATTGTGTGTTAAGGATCCATTCTCTTTCGCTGTGCGAACCTCGTATCACAGACTGGAAAAAAGAATAACAAACGAATATGACATTTTCTCCTTTCATTGCAAAATGGACGCTAGGCAGAGTCACTGTTTTGAGCCTAGGCAAATTTTTTGCTTCTGCCTGACGGTGGCCGATGCATTTTTGCTCCATTTGTAAACTGGATATAGTTTCGTCGCTTAGCTTCCGATTTGAATGCATGGCGTGACACTGTGAGCTGCGGATTTCATTTAGAATGTTTTTTTTTCGACTCAACGTGATAGTGTGAACTGTAGATTCAGAAAATGGCGCGATGCTTTTGTCGCAATGTTGGTGGTGCCCGTATGTGATTAAAAATTGATCTCGTGTGCAACTGCTGATCTGTTGGTGACTTCTGTTATCGTCAATGATGAACTGCATTTCTAATGTCGGACTGTTTGTGTTAGCACTTCAGATGCTTTAATGCGTGTGTATGCTAGATATGCTGAGACAGCAGTCTACCAATCTTTCCACAAGGGACTGTGATAAACATTATGTGTGTTTTTCGTTGGCACAGGAGCGGAGCAACGATATGATGACCCGTTTACTATAAAGCTGAAACTACCAGACTACCAGACTTAACCAGTACAACTCAAATTATTATGATAATCCGCCCTAATATGCAACACAATTTTGTTTGTGATGTGTTTTACTTGTAATGCCCAACCCCGACTGTCGTCGGGGGCCCTAATGTAACCTAACAGTTTATGGGGTTTCTGGGACTTGTGGCTAAATGATATTTATCCTCATGGTGGCTCTTTCTGTCACCATGTGTTTATCGCTCGTTGTGCGGACCTGGTGGGATTGAACGTCAATCACTCACTAAAATTCATATTACAACTATACGTATACAACTATGTAAATATACGGTTGTGTTATGTAAACGTGAATTTTGTTACCTACTCCCCAGAAATACATTGACGTGGATATACTCGGAGCCTGTGGGACACCGTGCAAGACCAGCTCAGTATGTGACAATTTGGGGGCCAAATATAAATTCTACCTATCCTTTGAGAATTCTCTATGTACAGACTACGTCACCGAGAAATTCTTCAAGTTATTTGATCAAAAGACACATGTGATCCCAGTTGTCAGGGGCGGCGCTGATTACGACAAACATTTCCCCAATTTTACCTACATCAACTCTGCTAACTTTAGAAGGCCAAAAGATTTGGCTCTTCATTTAAAAGATTTGGCATCAGATTTACAGACATACAGCAAGTACCTGGAATACATGGATTTATTTATAGAAAAATCAGAAATTGTCAATCATCTCTGCAGACTTTGCTCGTTTGCACACACTCATACGCTACCCGTTACAAAAACACACAATTTAAAACGTTGGGTGAATGATGGGCATTGCCACAATCCTCAAGATTTGTGATACTTTGATATCTTGGGTTTATCATATTCAGATGTGTTTCTAAAGATTATGAAATATAGTTTTCTTTTTTTCCTACAGTTAACTGACGGAAGTATTGTGGCAGGGATGTAGGAATATTTTATGCATTCTTTCAATTGTGTTGTATTAGTAGCTCTTCATTTCTGTAAGGTTGTTCATGACAACGTTGTTCCATTTTTCGTGTGCTCTCCCTCGTGCTCTACGTTTATTATATTTACTGAGCATAGCACTCTGTGACAGTAGATGACGTTGTCGTCAGGCAGCCAAACCATTTCATCTGTTGCTCTTTAGGGAATTCTATGACTAATTTTTGTCCCAGTCTACTCCTGATTTCTTCCTTTTCAGCTGTATATCTTTTTTTTTTTAACTCTATCAGCTCTTTAAGAATCTTATGTCTGTTGTTTTCATTGGGAAACAGACAAACAAAAGCATGTCGTACTTGTCGACTAACTGTGAGCTTCCTTTAAAGTCGGAGTGTATCTACATGAGAGGCGAAGAGCCAGCAGTCTGCATCGAAATAAGCTAGACCTGATAAACGGACGTACACTTAACACTCAGGTTCTGGATCAAGAAAAGTCCAGTTGTGGACGAATAACTAGACCTTTTCGATGGAGTTAACAGCCGGCCAACGCGAAGAAAAAGAAGACTTAGATTGTGTGCTTCCTTTCTGGTTTACCAGATAAGAATCTATCCCCAGTTGTTTGTACACCTCCTGGTTCACCAGATATTAATTTACCATCAGTTGTTTGTATGCTTACTGATTCACTAGGTGATTATTTACCTCAAGCTGTTTGTATGCTTCCTGTTTCACCGGGTATTAATTTATCCGCAGTTGTTTGTTTGTTTCCTAATTCACCAGATATTACCTGACTGACTTTTCTACCCCACCAGGACATTACACACGCAATGAACACCCGATGACACAATGTGCCACCATGCGGGTGAGGATCACCGTGGAAAGGTCCCAGAAACAGTGTTTAGTCTTTATGCCATATTTATGGCAAGGCTATATTGCGGCCCTGGCAAAAGCCAGAGTAGAGCTTTAAATAACGAAAAATGTCATCCTAAAAGGTTATTAACCACCAGATATTAATTTATCCTCAGTTGTTTGTTCGTTTCCCCATTTACAAGATATTAATGTATCCCTAATTGTTTGTACACTTCCTGATTTCGTTGTACACCCATTCAGCAGATATTAGTTGTGTTCGTTTCCCCTAGTTGTTTGTACACTTCCTGATTCAGCAGATATTAATGTATCCCTAGTTGTTTGTACACTTCCTGATTCAGCAGATATTATTTTATCCTTAGTTGTTTGTTTGTTTTCCTCATTCACCAGATATTATTGTATCCCTAGTTGTTTGTACACTTCCTGATTCAGCAGATTTTAAGGTTTCCCTAGTTGTTTGTACACTTCCTGATTCAGCAGATATTATTGTATCCATAGTTGTTTGTACACTTCCTGATTCAGCAGATATTATTGTATCCATAGTTGTTTGTACACTTCCTGATTCAGCAGATATTATTGTATCCATAGTTGTTTGTACACTTCCTGATTCAGCAGATATTATTGTATCCATAGTTGTTTGTACACTTCCTGATTCAGCAGATATTATTGTATCCATAGTTGTTTGTACACTTCCTGATTCAGCAGATTTTAAGGTTTACCTAGTTGTTTGTACACTTCCTGATTCAGCAGATATTATTGTATCCATAGTTGTTTGTACACTTCCTGATTCAGCAGATATTATTGTATCCATAGTTGTTTGTACACTTCCTGATTCAGCAGATATTATTGTATCCATAGTTGTTTGTACACTTCCTGATTCACCAGATAATAATTTATTCCCAGTTGTTTGTTCGTTTCCCGATTCTCCTGATAATAATTTATCACCAGTTGTTTGTACACTTCCTTATTCACCAGATATTAATGTATCCCTAGTTGTTTGTACACTTCCTGATTCACCAAATACTAATTTAACTGTGGTTGTTTGCTTGATGATTTACAAGGAATCATTTAATCCCAGTTGTGTCCCTTCCTGATTCACAATGTGTCTACTAGCTTAACGCCAGTTATTTATACACTTCCTGATTCACAATGTGTCTACTAGCTTAACGCCAGTTATGTATACACTTCCTGATTCACAATGTGTCTACTAGCTGAACGCCAGTTATGTATACACTTCCTGACTAAACGTGTATGTACTGATTTAATACTAATTGTACATAATGATTCACCAGATACCTAGTAATTTAACGTCATTTGCTTCAGTTTTCTGATTTACCAGATATATTGTAATTTAACACCCATTACTTATAATTTTCCTGATTCACCACATGGCCTCTAATTTAAGCCCATTGTCTGTCCAGGTGCAATCAAGTCGTTGGTATTATAGCTAAATTATTCCATTATTTGTACATATATTCAACAAATGTAATTAATTATATACATAATATCTGACAAATGATTGTCAATGTGTTCAGTCTTGAATTTAAATTTTGTTATCAACAGAGTCCATCTGTAGATAAATGATTTGGGAACGTTAAACTAACAGCACCTCACACAGATAGAGGTAAAAAGAGGAGTACCTAAGGGTTGTGTGTTATTCCTAAACATTTTCAACTTTTTTAGAGAAAACATTTTTAAACACGTTAAGGAATTGCCTGGAATGAAGATTAATGGAACAACAATAAAAATCTGAAATACGCAGATGACACGATGCTACTAGCAGAAAGTGAGCAGGAGGTACAAGAACAAACTCATCAACAGGCAGCGTGCAGAGTATGGTTGAGACATTAATATTCGGAAAAAAAAAACTATGGTAATTAACAATGAAAAAGAGCAACCAACAGTGAACATTACAGTAAACGGGGAGCTATTAGAACAAGTAACAAGTTTCTCCTATCTAGGACATGGAGTAACATATGATGGAAGAAGAGAAGCAGAAATCAACAAGAGAATTGGAATGGCTAAAACTGTCTTCAAAAAGATGCGCAAGTTACTGACAGCTAGAGAGATCAACAACATACTAAAAATGAGAATCGTTAAATGGTATGTATACTCAGTCCTGCTATGTGGTGCAGAAACGTGAACAATGAACAAGCAACTAGAAAATCAAATTGAGTCTTTAAAGATGTGGGTATACAGAAGAAAAGGTCGTTATCTCATGGAAACAAAAACAGCCCAATACAGATGTTCTGCAATGGTGCAAACGAAAAGAGAATTACTGAAAGAAAGAAAAAAGCGACAATTTAAATACTTTGGCCACATAAAAAGACATGACACTCTTTTAAAAACCATACTAGAGGGAAAGGTTGAAGGCAAAAAAGCAAGAGGTTGGCAACGATACAACTGGGAAGACAACATCAAGAAAAGAGGTTGGCAACGATACAACTGGGAGGACAACATCAAGAGAAGAGGTTGTCGAGGATACAACTGGGAGGACAATATCAAGAGTTATACAGACTGCAGTCTGAGAGGGTGAACAACTTGGAAAAGAGAGAACGTGTCGGAGATATATTGCAGCCAACCTTAGCTGTGGATACGGCGCCTGATTGATCGATTGATTGATTGATTGATTGATTGATTGATTGATTGATTGTCTGACTGGTGTATTGCATGAGCTGTTGATTTGAGTATGTACGTTTCTCACTGAAATATGTTGCTTATCGTGTCAGAAATTAAAATATTCTACAGTCTTAGACAATAACTATTCCCTTTTATAGAAGAACCGATAGAACATTTCTACAGTCTGAGATTAAACAACTATTCCCTTGTATAGACAAACTGAAAGAACATTTCTACAATCTGAGATTAAACAACTATTTCATTTTAAAGACGAACCGATGGAACATTTCTACAATCTGAGATCAAACAACTATTCCCTTTTATAGACAACCCGATAGAACAATTCTACAGTCTGTGATTAAATAACTATTCCCTTCTATAGACAAACCGATAGAACATTTCTACAATCTGAGATTAAATAACTATTCCCTTGTATAGACAAACCAATAAAACATTTCTACAATCTGAGAATAAACAACTATTTCCTTTTAAAGACCAACCGATTGAACAGTTAAGAACTTTTTTTTAAAAAAAAGGTCTTAACTCTCTGTAATACCACTTTTCAAAACTGCCATGGAGAAGGAAATATATGTTAATAAGGAAAGATTGGAAGTGGTGGAAAATTTCGAATATCTTGGGTCACTGGTTACCAACAATGGTGACACAATGAAAGAAATTAAACGACGACTATCAATTGCTCTTCAAAGACTAAAACAACTGAATAAATTATGGAATTGTACAGATAGAATTACAAAGGTCAGATTTTTAAGAGCATGCATCTTTCCCATTGCAACATACGCCTGTGAGACCTGGATTAAACAACTATTCCCTTTTACACTCCTTACTAAACAAGCGGAACAGCGCATAAATGCATTTGAATATAAATGTTACAGACATGTTCTAAGAATATCTTGGGTAAAGAAAAGAACAAATGCATCCATACTTCAAGAGCTGAATATTGAAGAGGGTTGGCTAGTAAAGACAATAAAACAAAGAAAATTGAAATATTTTGGTCACTTGAAACGTCACGGAAGTCTAGAGAGAACAATAATGGAGGGGTATATGCCTGGGAAGAGGAAGGCCAAGGAGAAGATGGGTGCAGGATGTGGCAGATGATCTCCAGATGGGTGTATCAGACGCAGGACATCTTGCTCATGATAGGAAGGTTTTCCGGAGGGTTGTTATGGCAGCGAGGTTCCGCGAGGGACATGCTACTGAATATATATATATATAATACCACTTTTAGGAAAGGTTGGTGAGGGGGGAATATTGATATATATGGTGCTAGGAGACAGTGTTAGAATTGGGCGGGGGGCTGGGGGGGGGGTTTAGCATGAACGAAGAGAAGACAGAAGTAGTGGTAATTTCAAAGAACAAAATAGTGCTGAAATGTTTAATTAAAGGACAAGTACAGACATTTAGGTATCTAGGTATCTCGACACTCTCCAGGGAAGATGTACCATAGAGACAAAGGGCAGAATATGGCAGGCTAAAACCGCATTTTTACAAAATGAATATTTTAGGCAGAAATTCCATGTCACTGAAGGTTAGGGGGGGGGAAAAGAATTATCTCAAACTATATAGAGCCGACAACTGACCCTTAAGAGCAACGGCAAACTACTGAACGTACAATTTGCCTAGATAAATCACAACAGACACACACAAATGCTGGTGTTGGTTCAGCAATGTCATGTAAATGATATGCAGAAAACGTTATATAGAGCCAGTTTTAACATATGGCTGTAAATGCTGACAATTGGGTAGAGAATAGACAACAATGATCCGGATTTCGCAGACGATAATGTTCTGTTAAGAAGTAAAATTAACAAAGACATGGACAGAAAAACAGACAACTGTTCGTCTACAGCACCCCAAAAAAAATTGTATTACAAATAACTTATGAAAAAAAACAAAAATATTAAAGATACCAACAACAGATCATGTAGATGACACGTTAGAGAAAAAAAAAAAAAAAAAAAAAAAAAATTAAGGGACCATTAAACATAGTTGGACATAAATTTTGACCGTCAAAAAGATTCAAGAAGGAAATTATGATACGCATTGGCAAAGCGACAAGTCTTTAAATGCCTTACCAAAATATGGAGCTCCAAACTACGAATCTTAAATTCTAATGTTATTTCACTTCTAACATTCGCCATCGAAATTTGGAGAACCAGCAAAGATATGGAATGAAAGTTAAATGCATTTAATAAAAAAATTTCTGAGAAAAATCGAGTACAAAAAATGGGATGATTTAAAAAAGAGCGAGTAGATCAGAGAAATGTTAGGACACATACCTGTAGCGACTTCAGTAAGACAAAGAATGTGGAAAAATATTGGGAACGCTCTGAGAAGAAATCAGCAAAGAATTACAAAACAATCCCTGAAATGGGAAACAACAGGTCGGAGGGGGAAAAAGTCTAATGGAAACATTAAGAAGAACATTTTTACGAGAGGTCAAAAGTGCTGGGCTGAACTCCGTGTCAGAAATTGAGAGAGTTCCATTTAATAGAGAGGAGTTGGGGGATTGAATGCGAGCCCTTTATGACGTCCAATGGCACACAAACGATGATAGTATTTACAATTATATTTTTTTAAGTGACTGCTTTGATTTGTAACATGTAATGACTAAAAACTTTCTAATGTATAAGCTTTTGTCACTTATCTTGCATACAATAACCAATGCACTAAAAATACCGGACACATGTTGGACCTTGTTGGTAGGTGGCAGAGGGACACTGGCAGACAATTCGGACACGATGGACTTTGAGGGATACGACATTCTTTCCACTAGACAACTGCACCGCCCCTCCCCCCACCACCCACGACGTTCTGTTATGCTATATTCAATTCATGAGTACTCCGAAACAGGTTTGGTTTTAAGCCATAAGTTTGTAGTTATCTAAATGTTGATGCTATTTTGTTAATGTGTTTTTCTTATGGATTTGACAGTAACGATAGTAAGGAAATGCGTCTATACTCTCTTGAGAGACCACTGTCTAATGAGCCAGATTTTAAACTTGAATAAACTTTGACAATTTTAAAAGCTGGTACAACATAGCTTTTGGCTGTATATAAACGACACGAAAATGGTTTGTGCTCTACAACTCATATTAATCCTATTGAATATTTCGTCTAAACCTGATGAATTGATTTTCTTTTAGACAGAGGTAAGATATGTGAATATTTCAGTAACAGATGTAGGTAAGAAGTGTTCAATGAGAATGATTTTAAATCACGCATTCTGACATCACGATGAGAACGGTGGAGTAGGAGAATAAGTACTGTAGGTAAGTACACGCATCTTGTTTTCCTCTGTTTAATATCATTCTTCTTCTTTTTCTTTTCCTCCTCCTTCTTTTGCTTCTTCTTCTTCTTCTTCCTCTTATTTTTCTTTCTCTGCTCATCATCTTCCTCCTCCTACTCCTGTTTCTTCTTCTTCTTCCTCTTCTTCTCTTCCTCCTCCTCCTCCTCCTTTTTCTTCTTCTTCTTCTTCTTCCTCTTCTCCTTCTCCTTCTTCTTCTTCCTCCTCCTATTTTTCTTCTTTTTCTTCTTATCCTCCAACTCTCCTCTCCCTTTTTTCTTATTCTCTAGTCTTGTTCTGTCTTTCAGTGTTAGGGTTTGAAGAGGCATTAAGTGCGGGCCCTGTTGTGTGCTACCTAGATGCTGGTTTTAACAAGCTTTGAGATTACATCTATTTATCCACAGCTAGCGCGGTCGACCTCAGGGTCCGCTTTCGTTGTGACTAAATAGCACGGCTCTATGTGGTGCACTGTCTGGTGGTTGTCTTGACATATTTGCGAAACATATGATCTGTTGTCTCGTGATGTAGTTTAATACAGGTCCCGTCGCAACTTCTTTCCTGATATCGTTATTTCTGATCCCGTCTCTTCTAGTTACATTTAGAATTCGTCGTAGACATTTCCTTTCTGTTGTTTCTCTGATTATTTTTCTATCATGATCGCTTTCACAAATAGAATACAAATGTAACAGTACAACAGTTTTGGTTTGTTTGCTCTTGTTTTCACAGGTCAGTGGAAACAATGTCACTGAAAGTCGTCTACATGACTCTATGTGCCGTCTGTCTGATGGGAATAGGCATCGTTTATTTTGTAGACATCAACATGGTCACATCAAAGTTTGTCAACTTCACAAACTCACGACTTACATATTTGAAATCCATCTGGTCAGCCAACGAAAACAACCTTACAGACGAAGAAGCAGCCATCACATTGAATGACACAGAATCATCCTTTCACTTGAAAACTCCCACTACAGTGCCTTTAATTACCCAAGTTAACAAAAGCTCCAGAAACGTCACCACGGGATCATTTTCCAAGGTAACGACGATGAGCTTTAACTCCTCGCTGGTTGTACATTGTAAGGAGTCGCCATACATACAATGCACTCCGTCAAACATCATACAACCCTCGACCAAGAAGCGGTTTAAGATCGTTTATTTAAGACGCCCGAAGTGGCTTCATGTAGATGCGACATCGTGTATGATCAACCAGTGTGTGGTATCAGATGGACCTGTTACAAATGACACTGACCTAGTCGTAGTTTATGGAGTCGGTCTCACAGACAGCTTCCAGCCGCCACAGAGATGGACAAACCAGACCTATATCATTGCAGTTTGGGAATCACCGATACACACAAACTCGGATCTATTAAACAGTAAGTAGCGGACTCGTATATTCGAGTTGATTTCCATGTATATCTGTTTTATGTTATCTTGTATTTATCTCAGAAGGAACGCAAAGTCCTTAACAGTATATTACTGTTATTGCCAAACAGTGCTTACCACATTTCCCCAAATATAAGACGGCCACATGTATAAGACGCACCCTGATTACCCTTGAGGTTCATTGCTGCAGAAATCCCCCGCCTCCATTCATCTCTCTGGTTGGCTTTTTCATGTTTACAGTTATTGTTTTCATGTTAAGAATGTTCTTTAAAAATTTAGGGGAGGGGGGAAGGGGGTTGGAGGGGTGCATTTTTTTCATTTCGATCATGAAACAGCATTTTCAAATGAGGCTCTGTTAGGAAAAATTTATAACAAATCATTTGGTGAAAATCTACTACACACTATATAAGACGCACACAATTTTTAGACTATATTTCTTTTGAAAATAAGTTCGTTTTACACTTGGTGCAATACAGTAATTTGATTCAAGAATATTTAGAATGTAACTGTGGATGAGATAAATATTAGAAATTCACGAGAACTTTTTTTTTCTTGGATTTCTCCTAAGATGGAAACTCTCCTTGGAATTCGCGGATAAACCTCATCATGTCGTATCGTGTCGACGCAGACGTCTTTGCCCCGTATAGTCACCTTGTATTTAGACCAAAACCATTGCCAGAGAGGCCAAACTACTGTAGGTACTCGTTGTATTTGTCTCTTAAGTGTTATTCAAACACTTTTACACTCAAGAATCTAAATACTCGAAAGTGATCACAATATATTATCTGGCTTCTGCTTCTACTGTTGTTGTTGTTCTTCTTCTTCTTCTTTTGCTTTTTATTCTTCTTCTTTTTTTTTTTCTTCTTCTCCTCTTCCTCCTCCCATTCCTTCTTCTTCTTCTTTTTCTTCTTCTTCTTCTTCTTTCTTCTTCTTCTTCTTCTTCTTCTTCTTCTTCTTCTTCTTCTTCTTCTTCTTCTTCTTCTTCTTCTTCTTCTTCTTCTTCTTCTTCTTCTTCTTCTCCTCCTCCTCCTACTTCTTCTTCTTCTTCTTTGTCACGAAATGGCAGTGGTACACCATGGAAAACCACTCTATTGCGTGAGACATAGCTTGCTCTGACACAGTACATAACTATCGGCAGTACATGTAAACAAATGACGTCATAGTATACACGCAAGTGCAGTACGCGCGAAATATGGACTAGCGTCTATGAAATGACACAATAATAACGTCATAATCACGGACCGTCGTTCTTAGCTTGGTACCAATGCACCACTGCCTTCTCTAATAATGCATAACAACTGAATCACGATACATTTTGGCTGAGTCCCCTCGAAAATAGGTTACTTGAAGCGTTTCCATGTTGCCTTGTGTGACAATATAATATGCTTACAAACTTCTGTGTTCTGATTGTATTCGTATTCGTTTCTTCTTCTTCTTCTTCTTCACTTCCTCTTTTACCGCTGTGGGTGTCGAGGGAGATATAAGGTTCTGTTTCTAGCTCTTCTGGCTGCCTCGACCATAGGCACATCGTGCTGTTGTGGAGTTTCTCTGATGTTATCCTTCCATCTTGTTCTTGGTCTACCCCGTGCTCTACGTCCTTCTTCTCTTTCCATGTATGCTTTGTATGGTATGGTGTCACAATGCATTCTCTCTAAGTGGGCAAACCATTTCACTTGCTGTCTTTGTATGTAATCCAGAATTGGTTCTGTGCCGACTTGTTCTCTTATGATCTCATTCCTGATTTTATCTCTTATGGTCACTCCTACAGCCCTTCTCAGACATCTCATTTCCGCGGTTACTAATTTTCTTTTATGGTTTGTTGTGAGTGACCATGTCTGGCACTGGTAACACAGAGTTGGAATAAATATGCTTTGAATAAGATGTCTCTTTGTGCTGATTGGGATTGTCTTATGCTGTAAGAGGGGAGCTAGCTGTCCCAATACTTGGTTTGCTTTACTGCATCTAATGTCAATTTCTTTATCCAATTTCCCATCTTCGGTAAATGTAGTTCCCAGATATTTAAACTCAGATGCCTGTTTAATGTCTTTGTATTCTATTGCTATGTTTAGATCTGTCTTCTTTTTTCCTATTGACATTACTTCTGTCTTTTCAGTGTTGATTCTCATATTATTTGTTTTACATTCTTCATTCATGGATGTTAAATGTTGTTGCAATTTCATGGGTGTATCTGCTATCAAGGCCTGGTCATCTGCAAAGAGTAATTCGTTGATCTTACTAAGATCTTCATTTATGGGCTTGGCATTCTTGCATATACTGTCGATGTAGGTGATAAACAGCAGTGGTGATAAGACACACCCCTGTCTTACTCCAGATGTCACTGTGAAAGGATGAGATGTTCCCTGATTTATTCTAACTACACTTCTACAATCTCTGTATAAACTTTTGCACACTTCGATGAGGTGTTCGCTTACTCCATATCTTGCCATTATTTTCCATAGTAATTGTCTGTCGACTCTGTCAAATGCCTTCTCCTGGTCTACGAATGCCACAAATAAGTTCTTATTGTATTCAATGTATTCGTATTCGTTTACAGCCTGTTATAGCAATCTTTGGATGTGTGGTGTTATAGCAGTCTCTGTATGTGTGGTGTTATAGCAGTCTCTGGGTGTGTGGTGCTATAGCAGACTCTGGATGTGTGGTGTTATAGCAATCTCTGTATGTGTGGTGTTATAGCACTCTTTGTAAGTGTGGTGCTATACAAGTCTCTGTATATGTGGTGTTATACAAGTTTCTGTATGTGTGGGGCTATAGCAGTCTCTGTATGTATGGTGCTATAGCAGTCTCTGTGTGTGTGGTGCTATAGCAGTCTCTGTATGTGTGGTGTTATAAAAGTCTCTGTATGTGTGGTGCTATAGCAGTCTCTGTATGTGTGGTGCTACAGCAGTCTCTGTATGTGAGGTGCTATAGAAGTCTTTGTATGTGCGGTGCTATAGCAGTCTCTATAGCAGTCTCTGTATGTGTGGTGCTATAGCAGTCTCTGTATGTGTGGTATTTTATAAGCAGCCTCTGTATGTGTAATATTATAGCAGTTGTTGAGCGTTGATGACTTTGATAATCGTAGCGTTTATGGTGAAAATAGAAGTTATAATTGTGGTTATTATGATAGTGCTGCAGATCATGATTGTGACAATAATAACGGTGGTAGTATTTGTAGCGGTGGTTTTTGTAGCCGTGGTGGTCGCTGTTTTGGTAGTAAAAGTAGTTGTGGTGATGGTGGCTACTGTGGTGGTGAAGATGATACCAGTCTTGTGACAGTTTTGACATTTGTCATCAGATGAGATCGCCAAGAACAAGACAAGAACCGCCGTGTGGATCGTCAGTCATTGTAGCACACAGTCCAAAAGAGAGCAGTACGTCAAGCAGATGCAGGTGACACTGATTGCCTTTCACTTAACGTCTTTCCAGTTGATCCTGCTGTTCTCTGAATGTTCTACTTACGCAAATGCACAATTCTATTTTATGACTACCGCAAATAGTTGCAGTGTGTCCATATCGTCTTCATCACGTTTGCCGGCTGTAAAGTTGGGTAGAAAGTTCTGACTGCTCGTCTACTATTGCACTTTGGTCTCTTCCAGAGCTAGAGTTTGGCGTGCACGTTCATTTTACGGACCTGGCTTTCTTGTATGTGGACTCCTGGTTTCTTGCCTCTTAGGCAGATACACTCCGACAGGGAATGAAACATCACTTATTAGTCGCCTCCTAGGTTAGGAGGCAGTGGGTCTTTTTATATTTCTCCCAGAATAGTGCTTGGAACCACACATGGGAAAGTTTGTCCATATGATTCCGATTATTAAACCAATAAAAGAATCGACTTCACTGCTCCGAGTTTTACTCAGAAGAGCGACTGGTCTCCTGTTGATAATGTGACTGGGGCGAAAACTCCTTGAATATACAGACTATCCCCTGTTGATGATGTGACTGGGGCGAAAACTCCTTGAATATACAGACTATCAACTGTTGATGATGTGACTGGGGCGAAAACTCCTTGAATATACAGACTATCCCCTGTTGATGATGTGACTGGGGCGAAAACTCCTTGAATATACAGACTATCCCTTGTTGATGATGTGACTGGGGCGAAAACTCCTTGAATATACAGACTATCCCCTGTTGATCTACGCATAGCTATTGAAACGAACATAATTTTGACATTCTTCTTCTTCTCCTTCTTCGCGGTTACCGGCTGTAAATTTCAGGAGAAAGTTCCGGGGTTTCGTCCACCTCTGAACATAAGTCTTGTTCCAGAACCTAGGAGACTCGTGCAAATCCATGTGTGGTTGCTTGCTTTTTACAGATGCGCGGTGCAGAACAATCACTCAACAGTGAGTTGACTTGGCTACGCACAGCTATTTATTTTGGACAACCGCTGTAAATGTCAGGAGAAAGTTGGTTGCTCCAGAACCTTCTCATGCAGATGCACTTCGACTTCGAGAGAAGGAGAGGAGGCGCGGTGCAGAACAATCACTTCACCAGTGAGTGTCAGGCGTATTTAGCCGAAATGTTAAGATAAGATCTGTAGCCTGTCAATATAGCCGGTTTTACTGTACGGGTGAAGAGTTTCACGAAATAGAAAGCAAATATCAGACTTTTCTAGGAGTAACTGAGATGTACATACAAGAGAACACAGCATAAGCTTCGTTAGAAGAAAGATTTCCTATTTAGAAATATTCGATAACAGTCAATAATCTGTTAGACCTGTTAAGCATACGTTACAGCAACTTATACTGAAGTGTTCGTCATCATCATTATGTGAATGAAATTATCGTCGTACTTGAATTGACATTGTGTTTTTACAGAAAACAAAACTAAATTACGTTTAATTTGTTGGATCACTGGCCTTGATGTTATAACACAACAGACATACTAAAACTATCTTATCACCAGAGCCCGTTATACATGCTTGAATAAGCATGAGCATGGAAGACTAGATCTGGTCACAGTGTTAGCGCAGTCGATAGGAGGCACGCTTTCAAATCCAGTTTTAAAATGTGCAGTGACGTGGGTTTACATCCCGACTTTTCCCCTTTTCCTTTACCGAAAAAATTTTGGTTAGAAGCATATCATATATTTTTTGTCAGGATATTCCGGGGTAAGGGATAATGAGCAGGGTGACAATTGGGGGCTTGAGGCGGTGACTACTTTTGATAAAGGAATGGTTAAATTCCCTTGAATCAATGAACTGTAGAAAACAAAAGAAAAAGCTCCCTGAAGGGTAATTCTGTGGGGGAAAAGGGGGGGTTGGTAGTAAGTTTTGGAAAGTTTTTAAATTTTAGGCTCCACGGGTCGGTNGTCTATGAAAATGACACAATAATAACGTCATAATCACGGATCGTCGTTCTTAGCTTGGTACCAATGCACCACTGCCTTCTCTAATAATGCATAACAACTGAATCACGATACATTTTGGCTGTGTCCCCTCCAAAATAGGTTACTTGAAGCGTTTCCATGTTGACTTGTGTGACAATATAATATGCTTACAAACTTCTGTGTTCTGATTGTATTCATATTCGTTTACATCCTGTTATAGCAATCTTTGGATGTGTGGTGTTATAGCAGTCTCTGTACGTGTGGTGTTATAGCAGTCTCTGGGTGTGTGGTGTTATAGCAGTCTCTGGATGTGTGGTGTTATAGCAGTCTCTGTATGTGTGGTTTTATAGCACTCTTTGTAAGTGTGGTGCTATACAAGTCTCTGTATATGTGATATTATACAAGTTTCTGTATGTGTGGGGCTATAGCAGTCTCTGTATGTGTGGTGCTATAGCAGTCTCTGTGTGTGTGGTGCTATAGCAGTCTCTGTATGTGTGGTGTTAAAGAAGTCTCTGTATGTGTGGTGCTATAGCAGTCTCTGTATGTGAGGTGCTATAGCAGTCTCTGTATGTGTGGTGTTATAGCAGTCTCTGTATGTGTGGTGCTATAGCAGTCTCTGTATGTGTGGTGCTATAGCAGTCTCTGTATGTGAGGTGCTATAGCAGTCTCTGTATGTGAGGTGCTAAAGCAGTCTCTGTATGTGAGGTGCTATAGCAGTCTCTGTATGTGAGGTGCTATAGCAGTCTCTGTATGTGAGGTGCTATAGCAGTCTCTGTATGTGAGGTGCTATAGCAGTCTCTGTATGTGAGGTGCTTTAGCAGTCTCTGTATGTGTGGTGCTATAGCAGTCTCTGTATGTGTGGTGCTATAGCAGTCTCTGTATGTGTGGTGCTATATCAGTCTCTGTGTGTGTGGTGCTATAGCAGTCTCTGTATGTGTGGTGTTATAGAAGTCTCTGTATGTGTCGTGCTATAGCAGTCTCTGTATGTGAGGTGCTATAGCAGTCTCTGTATGTGTGGTGCTATAGCAGTCTCTGTATGTGAGGTGCTATAGAAGTCTCTGTATGTGCGGTGCTATAGCAGTCTCTGTATGTGAGGTGCTATAGTAGTCTCTGTATGTGTGGTGCTATAGCAGTCTCTGTATGTGAGGTGCTATAGAAGTCTCTGTATGTGCGGTGCTATAGCAGTCTCTGTATGTGTGGTGCTTTAGCAGTCTCTGTATGTGTGGTATTTTATAAGCAGTCTCTGTGTGTGTAATATTACAGCAGTTGTTGAGCGCTGATGACTTTGATAATCGCAGCGTTTATGGTGAAAATAGAAGTTATAATTGTGGTTATTATGATAGTGCTGCAGATCATGACTGTGACAATAATAGCGGTTGTGTTTGTAGCGGTGGTGTTTGTAGCCGTGGTGGTCGTCGTCGCTGTTTTGACAGTAAAAGTAGTTGTGGTGAAGGTGGCTACTGTGGTGGTTGATGCAGTGTTGTGACAGTTCTGACATTTGTCATCAGATGAGATCGCCAAGAACAAGACAAGAACCGCCGTGTGGATCGTCAGTCATTGTAGCACACAGTCCAAGAGAGAGCAGTACGTCAAGGAGATGCAGGTAACTGGTTTTCGCTTAACGTCTTTCTTGTTAACCTCGCTGTTCTCTGAATGTTTTATTTCTACTTACGAAAATGCACAATTCTATTTTACGACTACCGCAAATAGTTGCAGTGTGTCCATATCATCTCCATCACGTTTGCCGGCTGTAAAGTTCGGTAGAAAGTTCTGAGTGCTCGTCTACTATTGCACTTTGGTCTCTTGACATTGTGTTTTTACAGAAAACAAAACTAAATTACGTTTAATCTGTATGATCACTGGCCTTGATGTTGTAACACAACAGACATACTAAAACTATCTTCTCACCAAAGCCCGTTAGACATGTTTGAATGAGCATGAGCATGGAAGACTAGATCTGGTCACAGTGTTAGCGCAGTCGATAGGAGGCACGCTTTCAAATCCAGCTGCGACTAGCTGCAGCCCTTGGTCGGGTTCGAAACCGGGCGGTTCCCTGGGTTCACCCAGCCTCTAGGAAATGGGTACCAGAGTTGACACTCTGGGGTGAATAGAGGAACGTCGCTGTAGCTACAGAGTTACGTGCGGACGGCGTAACAGGCGGACAGTTTCTTATCAGCTGTCCGTACTGGTGGCAGAGCACTTATGGTTTATAACTGTGTGCAGTGACGCTGGTTCACATCTCCCGACTTTACCTTTACCCTTACAGTAAAAATTAGTTCAGAAGCATATCATAGATTTTATGTCCAGGATATTCCGGTGTAAGGGAAAATGAGCAGGCTGACAGATCGGCTGCTTGAGGCGGTGAGCTACCTTATGATAAAGAGGACATGCTTAAGGCTCTCTTGAATCAGATGAACAGTGTAGAAGAACAGAAAGAAAATGCATACACTGAAGGACTAATTCTGTGGGGAAAGGGGGTGGGTGGTGAGTAGAAGTTCTGGAAAAGCTTTAATTAGTAGGCTCCACGGGTCGGTTAAAATTACTTACAACGTGTACTATCCTCCAGCCATCAGAAAGCTGTCGCTACTGTCTTAGTCTCTATTCTCACACTGAATGGTGTGACGCTATACGCAAGGTATCTTTTGTTAAGCAGTGTCCAATCATCTGTGCGAGGAAACGCCGTTTTTGTTAGTTAGCACCGGAGACAAGCCTACGTATAAAACATCTCTTGGCTGTGAATTGTCAACATTGAAAAGTGAGCTGGCTTTGTGACAAAAATGTTTAAACCAGAAAGGTCAAGTGTGGTTACATAAAAAAGCTATGTTGTGTTTCGTCTAGATATTGAATGTTGGGTACAGTGTATCTCTGATTTTTTAAGGGGCGGGGTGGGGGAGGGGGGTAATAGTATATGTTGATTTCTAAATCTCTTCCACGGTGTGACTCTCGCACCACAGACTGGTTAAAAAGGAGTATGACAGTCCTAATAAATAAACCCAATAGGCTGCCCTGGTAAGCGAGAGCAGTTAATACTTAACAACAACAACTCATATTATTATATTGTTCCAACTAAATATGCGTCACAGTTTTTGTTATTTGAAAGCTTCCACCTGGCTGTCGTCGGCGGCTCTAATATAACCTAACGGTTGAATGGGGTTTATGTGCCATGTGTCCGCGTGATTTTCATCCGAATGGTGGCACTTTGTGTGACCGGCTGTTTATCGCTCGTTGTGTGGATCTGATGGAACTGAACGTCACTCACTCACTACAATTAATATTAAAACTATACGTATACAAATATGTAAATATACTGTTGTGTGATGTAAACGAACATTTTGTTACCTACTCTCCAGAAATACATTGACGTGGATATACTTGGAAGCTGTGGGACACCGTGCAAGAGCAGGCCATTCTGTGACAATTTGGGAGCCAAATATAAATTCTACCTAGCCTTCGAGAACTCTCTATGTACAGACTACGTCACCGAGAAATTCTTCAAGTTATTTGATCAAAATACACATGTGATCCCTGTTGTCAGGGGCGGCGCTGATTACGACAAACATTTCCCCAACTTTACCTACATCAACTCTGCTCACTTTAGAAAGCCAAAAGATTTGGCTCTTCATTTAAAAGATTTGGCATCAGATTTACAGACATACAGCAAGTACCTGGAATACATGGATTTATTTATAGAAAAATCAGAAATTGTCAATCTTCTCTGCAAACTTTGCTCGTTTGCACACACTCATACGCTACCCGTTACAAAAACTTACAATTTAAAAAGTTGGATAAATGATGGACATTGCCACAATCCTCAAGACTTGTGATACTTTGATATCTTGGATTTATTACATTCAGATGTGTTTCTAAAGATTATGAAATATCGTCTTCTTGTTTTCCTCCAGTTAACTGACGGAAGCATTGTGGCAGGGATGTCGGGATCTTCTATGCATTCTTTCAATTGTTTGTTTGTTTCCTTATTCAGCATTCATTAATTTATTCTCAATTTTTTGTACACTTCCTGATTCACCAGATATTAATGTATCCCTAGTTGTTTGTACACTTCCCGATCAACTAGATATTAAAGTATCCCCAGTTGTTTGTACACATCATGATTCACCAGATATTAATGTATCCCTAGTTGTTTGTACACTTCCTGATTCACCAAATACTAATTTAACTCTGGTTGTTTGTACACTTCCTGATTCACCAGATACGAATTTAACTCTGGTTGTTTGTACACTTCCTGATTCACCAGATACTTATTTAACCCTGGTTGTTTGCTTGATGATTTACAAGGAATCATTTAATCCCAGTTGTGTCCCTTCCTGATTCACAATGTGTCTACTAGCTTCACGCCAGTTATTTATACACTTCCTGATTCACAATGTATCTACTAGCTTAACCCCAGTTATGTATACACTTCCTGATTCACAATGTGTCTACTAGCTTAACGCCAGTTATTTATACACTTCCTGATTCACAATGTATCTACTAGCTTAACGCCAGTTATGTATACACTTCCTGATTCACAATATGTCTACTAGCTTAACGCCAGTTGTGTCCCTTCCTGATTCACAATGTGTCTACTAGCTTAACGCCAGTTGTGTCCTTTCCTGATTCACAATGTGTCTACTAGCTTAACGCCAGTTACGTATACACTTCCTGATTCACAATGTGTCTACTAGCTTAACGCCAGTTACGTATACACTTCCTGACTTAGCGTGTATGTACTGATTTAATACCAATTGTACATAATGATTCACCAGATACCTAGTAATTTAACTTCAATTGCTTCAGTTTTCTGATTTACCAGACATATTGTAATTTAACACCCATTACTTGAAAGCTTCCTGATTCACCACATGGCCTCTAATTTAAGCCCATTGTCTGTTCAGGTGCATCATGTCGTTGGTATTATAGCTAAATTATTCCATTATTTTTACATATATTCAATAAATTTAATTAATTATGTACATAATATCTGACAAATGATTGTCAATGTGTTCAGTCTTGAATTTAAATTTTGTTATCAACAGAGTCCATCTGTAGATAAATGATTTGGAAAGGTTACGCACAACAACATCACCTCACCCAGATAGAGGTAAAAAGAGGAGTACCTAAGGGGTGTGTGTTATTCCTAAACATTTTCAACTTTTATAGAGAAAACATTTTTAAACAAGTTAAGGAATTGCTTGGAATGAAGATTAATGGAACAACAATAAACAATCTGAAATTCGCAGATGACACGATGCTACTAGTAAAAAGCCAGCAGGAGGTACAAGAACTAAATCATCATCAGGCAGAGTGCAGAGTATGGTTGAGACATTAATATTCGAAAAAAACTATGGAAAAGAGTGAACATCACAGTAAAGGGGGAGCTATTAGAACAAGTAACAAGTTTCTCCGATCTAAGACACGTAGTAACATATGATGGAAGAAACGAAGCAGAAATCAACAAGAGAATTGGAATGGCTAAAACTGTCTTCAATACGATGTGCAAATTACTGACAGCTAGAGAGATCAACAACATACTAGAAATGAGAATCGTTAAATGGTATGTATACTCAGTCCTGCTATGTGGTGCAGAAACGTGAACAATGAACAAGCAACTAGAAAATCAAACTGAGTCTTTGAAGATGTGAGTATACAGAAGAAAAGGTCATATTTCACGGAAACAAAAAAAAGGTCCAATACAGAGGTTCTGCAATGGTACAAACGAAAAGAGAATTACTGAAAGAAATAAAAAAGCGACAATTTAAATACTTTGGCAAAATTAAAAGACATAACGCACTTTTTAAAACCATACTAGGTGAAAAGGTCGAAGGCAAGAGAGCAAGAGGTTGGCAACGATGCAGTTGGGAAGACATCATCAAGATAAGAGGTTGGCAACGATACAGCTGGGAGGACAACATCAAGAGTTATACAGACTGCAGTCTGAGATAGTTAACAACTTAGAAAAGAGAAAGCGTGTTGGAGATTCATTGCAGCTAACTTTCGCTGTGGAGACGGCGCCTGATTAATTGATCGAATGACTGATGTATTGCATGAGTTGTGGATTTGAGGATGTACGTTTCGCAAAAGAATAGTTCTACAATCTAAGAATAAAATACTATTCGTTTTTATAGACAAACCGATAGAACATTTTTATAATCTTAGATTCAACAACTATTCTCTTTTATAGACAAACCGATAGAACATTTCTACGATCTGAGATTAAACAACTGTTTCCTTTTAATGGCCAACTGATTGAACAGTTGGGAACTTTATAGAAAAGAGTCTTTAAACTCTCTGATACCACTTTTGGGAAAGGTTTGTGAGGGGGGGGGGAAGGGATATTGATATATACAGTGCTAGTAGACTGTGTAAGAATGGAGAGGGAGCGGGGGGGGGGGGGTGTTAGCATGAATGAAGAGAAGACAGAAGTAGTGGTAATTTCAAAGAACAAAATAGTGCTGAAATGTTTAATTAAAGGACAAGTAATTGACATTAAGTTATCTAGGTATTTCGGCACTCTCCAGGGAAGATGTATCATGGAGATAAAGGGCAGAATATGGCAGGCTAAAACCGCATTCTTATTAAATGAATATTTTAGGCAGAAATTCCATGTCAATGGAGGTTAGACTTTTAAAAGTTATCACAAACTATTTACAGCTGAGAGCTGAGCGTTGAGTGCAACGGCAAACTACTGAACGTACAATTTGCCAAGATAAATCACCACACACACACACACACACACACAATAACACACACACAAACACAAATGCTGGTGTTGGGTCAGCGATGTCATGTGAAGGAAACGCAAATAACTTTATGTAGAGCCAGTTTTAACATATGGCTGTGAATGCTGACAATTGGGTAGAGAATAGACAACTTAAAGATCCGGATTTTTCAGGCGATAATGTTTTGTTAACAAGTAAAATTAACAAAGACATGCACAGAAAAACAGACAACTGTTCTACAGCAGCAAAAAAAAAAAAAAAAATGGATTACAAATAACTTATGAAAAAACAAATATATTAAAGATACCAACAACAGACCATGCAGATGTCATGCTAGAGAACAAATCAAAAAAATTACCGGACCATTCAACAAAGCTGGACAGCAATTTTGACCGTCAATAAGATTAAACAAAGAAAAATAATGATACGCATTGGAAAAGCGACAAGTCCTTACAAGCCTCACCAAAATATGGAGCTCCAAACTCATCATCATCATCAGGTGCCTTGTCGACTGGTGTGGGCGATCATGCCTTTTCATAATCTGCGATCTCCTGCAGCATGTATCAGTTCGTGTGCCGAGACACCTTCATGCCATGCAACAAGACTGTCAAGCATCTTCTCTCGTCTTCCTCTATCTCTCCTTCCACATATCTTTCCAGTGGTCACAACATGTTCTATTTTCCCTCTTCTCATAACATAGCCGAAAAATGATTACTGTCTCCTTATGATGTCTGTGATAAGTTGTCTTCGGGCTCCCGCCTCTTTCAAAACCTCTTGGTTGCTCTTTTTGGCTGTCCAAGGTATTCTAAGCATTCTTCTGTAAAACCACATCTCCGAGGCCTCCAAAAATTGTTTGGCCTGCCTACCGATTGTCCAGGATTCACAGCCATATGTTAAAACTGGATGTATGGAGCAAGCAAGAATTCTTTTTCTAACTCTCAATGACAAGGATATATTGCACAAGATTTTTTTCATTTTATAAAATGCAGTTTTTGCCTGTCCTATTCTGTTTCTTATCTCAGGTATGCTTCTTCCATCTGATGTTATCCATGTGCCCAGATACTTAAATTTCTGTACTTGTCCTAGAATAAACACCATCAACTTTTATTACACACTTAGGAATAATTCGTTTCTTTGATACCACCATTACTTCTGTCTTCCCATTATTCAAACTGAGGCCCATTCGTCCACTTTCTAAAACCACAATGTCTATCATTTGCTGTAGTTCTTTCTGACTTGTTGATATCAAGACTGAGTCATCAGTATAACGTAAACTGTTTATATTGTGCCCACCAACCACAATTCCGGGCATACCAATTAAAGCTCTCATTATATATTCACTGTATATTGAAAACAAATCAGGCGACAGTACACATCCTTGTCGTACGCCCCTCTTTTTGCTTTGAAATGAACCTAAACAGTTGTTAATTTTTATAGCTGCTGTTTGCTGCCAATACATATTCTTTATTATTCGTAGATCTTTCCCATCAATGTTTAATTTTTCTAACAGTTTGATTACTTCTTCATGCTTCACACAGTCAAATGCTTTTGTATAGTCTATGAAGCATATGTACAAATCAGTCTTTACTTCTATAGCTCTTTCTGACAATGTCTTAGGATGTATATGGCGTTGTTTGTACCTTTTCCTTCAAACTCCAATCTCCAAATTACGAATCTTTAATTTTAATTTTATTTCAGTTCTAACATTTGCTATCCAAATTTGGAGAACCAGCAAAGATATTTGAATGAAAGTTGAATGCATTTTACAAACAACGACCGAGAAAAATCGAGTACAGAAAATGGGATGATTTCAAAAAGAGCGAGTAGACCAGAAAAATGTTTGGACAAATATCTGTAGCGACTTCAGTAAGACAAAGAATGTGGAAATATATTGAGAACACTCTGAGGAAAAATCAGCAAAGAATTGCAAAACAATCACTGAAATGGGAAACAACCGGTCGGAGGGGGAAAAAAGGTCTAATGGAAACATTAAGAAGAACATTTTTACGAGAGGTCAAAAGTGCTGGGCTGAACTCCGTGTCAGAAATTGAGAGAGTTCCATTTAATAGAGCGAGTTGAGGAATGGAATGCGAGCCCTTAATGCC